GATACCGCCATTCATGTCGCTGATATTCTTTGAGTGTTCATTAATTTCTCACTTTTACAGAACAAGGCGTGATGGAAGACTTTACAATTTCGAAACAGGTCCCTGGTTTACACACCGATGTAGTGGTTGGAAAGCCCAACAGTATATACGCACAGACAAAAGCAGTGGGTTTTTTTGGGAGAAGGTTACATATGGTTCAACGACCTCTCCAACTCTGAACGGATTTCGCACTGAGAGTAATTTGTCAGCAATAGGAATGTTATTGCGCGGGGAAATGTGCGAGGTATTCAGAGATAGTATACAGAACGACACGTTTACCAAACGTATAACATTACGACGGCAGGGCATTCCGCTCTTCCCTCAAAACACATCTATACAACAAAAGATCTCGAATATCCGTACCACGGAGGAGCACTCAGGCCACGTAAAAAAATTAGTGTCATTTTATCGTGTTACTTACTCGTTAATGTAACCCGAAATTTCGACTTAATAACTCGAGATTTTGAAATGGGCAATGCAAATAATTCAGGGGCGGATCGAGGATTTTCATACAGTCGTACAACCTGTCGTTTAGCCATACTAGGAGGAGCCCAATGGCGAAGCCTCGGCGAGGGTTAAGGGGAGGGCGGGAGAGCGAAACCCCCGAAGCTATAGAAATACAAGTGAATGAATATTTAAATTATTTTCCCCTTTATATTGAACATGCATGGTTAATACAGGAATACTGCTTTCGCTTAAAGCACAAAGCCCCTCTAGAAGGTTCCAAGGACATGCCACAGATTGAAATCTAGATGCGCATTAGTTCCATATTGGGCATTTTATAATGTATTTGCACTTAATTATTTGATAATTAATTCGATGTACTGTGGATTTTATTTTAACTTGATTCTGTCCAATCCGGTTCTTTCTGTAAACTGGACAAATAATCTGGTCTTTAACTCTTTATCTTCGCTAACTTAACACCGTACTCTGTAAACCGGCTTTGTTTTCGCGTCTAATACTTTCTCTACAATATCAAACATACTCCTTGTGAATCTACATCACGCTCTGTTCTAGATCTGTTCATTTTCAACTTTCACTTACAAAAAAATAAAAAATGAAAAATAAATAATTGAGAACAGTGTTTATAAAAAGAATGTATGCTGATATCCGGGAACTGTTAATTTTCTTATCTAGTTATAAGGATTTACTAGAACAGAACGTGTTGTAACGCTGGTTCACAGAGTGTGTTTTAATGTTAAGACCGGGAAACAAAGCCGGTTTACCTAATAAACAGAATGCGGGGTCTCAGCATTAAAGTCATAGAATTAAAGACCAAATACCTTTTCTAGGTTAGAAGAAGACCAAGACTGATCAGAGTGTGATTTAAATAATTAATCTCTCGAAATTGCGAGTCATTATCTCGAAATTGCGAGTTATTATCTTAAAATTTCGAGTATATAACACGAAAATGTTTTTTTCCCTACGTAGCCCTAATGCTCTTCCGTAGGAAGTGCTTTGGCGACTATCACTAACAGGTCAGGTCATAGGATGAGGCCCCTGTGGACAAGAAGGGTAAGGATGGGGGTTTCAATGGCAGATTTCTGACTTTTACTCCTGTTCAAAACAGGAACCATGCCCAAACCCAACTATAACAGGAAAATAATAGAAAGATAAAAAATATAAACGACGGTATGCGTTGTCTACGTGTGAGCTACACGTAGTCATTTATTGATGACGAGTTTGAATTGTTTTCATTACTTGTTGTTCCTTGTTGTCAATAAACACACAGGTATCAGTGGATAAAGTGAAAGGACTAATATTGTTCATTCAGATGCATTTTATGACATGACGTGACAGTACTCCAACAGTGTCAGAGGTTAACAGGGCGAGATACTTTTGACAGGCGCCGCGTAACAAAAAGCCGACCAGCGGCCTCTTGTGTTTTAGGAGTAGAAGTCACAGTTATATGATTTCTTCTTATTGAAGACAGATTTCGCTCAAACTTTAAATTGTCTTAGACTATTTATAGTCTTTGTATTGCCAAAGTTTCAAACACAACCAGTAATTTGATTTTGATGGAATTCGAACATCAGTCTTAGTATAAATATTGACAAAGTCTCATTTAAGCGACCAGAGTAAATCTGCTGCAATCATTGCAAAATTTAGGATCTTTAGATTTCTAACTTCTAACTATCTTTTATTTTCTAGCGCTGCTCTTGGTAACGCCTCACTTTTGGTTTTAATGTGAGCGTTCGCCCAGGTGAGGAAGGCAATGGGCTATGTCCCTAGGCCGGGAAATACCAAATTATATTCTCAATAAAAGTTCTTTGGCAAATATTTTCCTATAATGAGTCACCTTGGCCTATGAAAGTCCCAGACTAAATGAAACTTCATATTACTCTATCCCAGCATGCTACTGGTAAAATATCATCGCCCAGTGCCTCCTGCCATTGTAGGAGAAGTTGTTGAAAGATATTTACTTATTTGATCCCTGTGTCCTTGAACGAAGGTGAAGGTCACGTAATTTAGGACACTTCGTAGCACTCTGTCCCAGGTACATGTACCTACTGGCCAAACAGCATTGCTCTATGCCTCTTTGTTATTCAAAAGAAGGTGTTTAAAGGTTTTTTTTTACATGTTTGACCTTTGTTATCTTGAAAGTAAGTCAGGGTCATTTATTTGAGGAAACTTTATAGCAATCTGTTCCCGGTGCAAAAGCCAATACTTTCCCCGTCTGAAAGTTTCCCTGGGGAAAAAAATCTGCTAGTTTTTGTGTGTCCCAAAATCTCGTACTGTGACCTACGGAAACAGATGCTCTGTGAGGGTTTCGGCTGCGTTATGGAATAGCTTACCATCTGCTATTAGAAAGTCAAATACCCTTGCCAAGTTCAAGAGGGACATCAAAACTCACCTCTTCACGTCTGCATTTTAGAATCCCTGCAAAGACGTCATGTAAATACCACCCTTTTATTTGTTCAATTATGTGCACATTGCTTGCTTTAATGTATAAAAGTGATTGCAAGCCTTTGTTTTTTGTTTTCACAATTATAATCATTACTATTATTCATATGTTGTAAAGCGCTTAAGAGTAATTTTAAAATTATATAGTGCGCTATATAAATGTTGTATATTATTATTATAATTATTAGCTGATTTTTTCCCCCAGCTAGTTAATTTCTTCCCCTGGTAAAAAAAAAAAAAAATAGCTAGCTAATTTCGGGAAAAAACTATCTAGTGGGGGAAACACCCCCGGGAAACGTTCAGTGGGGGAAACACTCCGGGAAACGTTCAGTGGGGGAAAGAAGTGGCTGTTACACGTGAGCAAAATACAAATGGTAGCGGATACATGTACGCCTACAATGTTTCAAGGAAATCAGATGGAAACTGAGGTAATCATTGTCTGGGCAATGTTATGTCTAAATATACGGACGAGGTGATTCCAGTATACTGCCTTTACTCAATGCTTTAATGAGAATGGCCCATATCATGCATAAAATTGTAACAGAGATAATAAGTCCGTCCGTAGCGCGTCGACTGTCCATGTATATATTTCACAGTCCGAGTAATGTATCGTTGATACTAATGTAACTACCGGGTCCGCGTGTTGTATTCTATGCTGTGATGTTATATCTACAGGTGCATTGTGGTGTTCTGCTCGTTACGTTGGTATACCATACAGTTGTTCATTGGTCAGAAGTGGCATTGGTTCGTTCTGGGTGGTCAGTTTTGGCGCCTGTTTTCTTTGTGGGCTAATAAATCATGCTAGTACCTTTTGAGGACTCATAGGTGACCGAAGAAGAGATGTAATGTAAGTGTTTCTTTGTCTTTGTGTAATACCCAACGTATATGTATTATGTGTTTTATTTGAGTGATTATTCTATTTGGATCTAATCTAAGTGTAGATGATTTGTTATTCATTTAATAAGAAATCGGATATGATTAATGTATTTTTTTATATTAAAATTTAATAATGGAGGTCATGTAATTTGATTTTTTGTAAGAGGCGTTATTACATTGTGCTCATTTGGCTAAGGTTTGATAAATTCATTTAGATGCCTTTTATTTAATTACAGTATATCCGTATCGCATGTGATTGAAGAAGGCGTCGTACATAAAGGTTGTAGCCAAGGCCTTGTGCCATACTCAGGTACATTATAGTGTTTTTTTATGTAAAAGTATATCGTATTGATTTGAGAAGGTCTATGTCGCTAGACTGCTATCTGTGATTTTAGTATATTGTCCAGTAACTTTGTGTTGAGTCAAATCTTCAGTTTGATTGTATTTCGTAAAAGTTGTAGTTGTAATTTGTATCGCCTTATCCTTGATACTAGATTTGTAAGGGTAAAAGTTATGTAATCGTGTAAGAGTTATTTCCCTTGCATTTGTAAATGTTAAATATGATTATGTATGTATGGATTGAATGAATACATCTAGTAAAACATTGTTTTTTTTTAAACTATTGTCTAAAGATGGTCAAGCTGATTTCATCTGACCACGGCACACTAACTTTAGTGCTTGGGTTTAATCAGGTTGGGGAAAACCACCAACTTGCATGTAATATGCAAACTTGCCTATTATACACAAGTTGTAGTATGGATTTGTTACTAAAAATAACCCAAATCGCTTTAACAGTAACTTTAGCAAGATATTATTAAAAATCACATTAATTTACGACAAGGTTAATAATATTTTCCTAAAAGATGTTTACTGAAAGCTTTGGCCTCTTATAATTAGAAACTTGATGTATGTTACCGGAAGTATTGGCTAACTGCATCTATTTTTGGTACTTTCACACATGCAAATAAAGTTTATTTTTGCATTTGTATTATGTTTCATGACTGAATAAATGCGACTTGGACAAACAATTTGAAAAAGTTAAGATTAAAGTGATTTTGGCTATTTTTAGTAACAAATCCATACCCCTATTGGGTTATAATAAGCAAGTTTGGGTGTGATACGCAAGTTAGTGGTTTTCCCCGACCTGTTGATAAGAACAGCCAACATAATAAACACAGAGATTACCTCGTATAAACAAATCACTACTGATTGTTACATGTACTTTAATATTTATATTTCCTGAGATTTACATCTTAACAGTAAACTCAGAGGTAAAAGCCCAAGTGAACTTTGACCCTGGTGAACTATCCCGTCAGATCTGAATCAGGTGACCACAGCACCAAATTTATTAGCTGCGTGACCTCTGACCCCAAGTCCTGTTACTCTGAATACAGATCCAGCCAGTGGTTCCTGTTTGAGCACCTCCTCCAAAGTGAGGCTCTCCACAGATACATGTTTGGCACATGAGGTCACATAGAGATCCTCTAAGTTATCTCCCCCAAAACAACAAGATGTCATCCGCTTGCTTGGGATCTCAACCACTCTTAGCTCTTTACCTGTACAAAAACAGATGATCTAATTATAATCAAGAGCTAAATTTTGTAGCAATAGGTAAATAAGACTGTCTTTTTGTGTCAAATACCAACTGTGACTAAATTTAAATCTGGAATAAAACATTTTTCACAAAGACATTCCTGCTACATATAGAAAGGTATCGTGGTTCCCCCAAATTTGTAGTAGAAATTTTTTTTCCACCTACAGTAATCAGAAAAAGGTGTTTGTATTAGGGAATTTCTTCAAATAATTTAAAAAAAGATATTTCCACACATTTTACAATTTGAAGACATTAACTCAAGGTAACATCTTTCTACTTACCTGTCTCAGGGTCATATCTTACAACTCGTCCAGCTGAAAAACAGGCAACCCATAACTTATCCTCCGTGTCAATCGTCATACCGTCTGGACAGCCGTAGGCTACATGTACAGCAACTCTTCTGTTACCTAGGCAACAGCAACAAAGTCCATATAAGGAAGACTTGTTTGTATTGGTAGCAGAAGAGAATTATTGTAGATACAGACAGCCTTTGTGTTACAAACTTAGAATATCAAAATACAAGATGCCAGTCGGTTCTGTATTACTCACCTAGTTCTTATGGTATGTTAACTCATTCACCCCTGAAGACACATTTGAACTATTCCAATTCAAAGGATGGAATAGTTCATTGTGAAATTTCAGGGGTAAATGAGTTAATGAGAAAAGATGTTGAAATGTTTCTGCTAAATTTAAGACCATGGTAACCTCTGTATTTTTGACAAACCTGGATTACATGTCCAAGTTGTGATATTACATTCTAGACAATTGTCCATGGCAAGGTATATATTATAAACATGTACAAAGTACTTAACATGGCACATTTAATTGCTGCATTTCTTAACTACATTTAGAAACTATTTAAATAAAATATTTAGTTTAAAACCATATTGCTTTAAAGCATAATATATGTAGCACTTCTAGTTACCCAGATATGGACTTAAAATTCTTGTTGACACAATACATGATCACAAAAATGTGGGTAATTTCTTCCGAACCAAGTCAATCAAGCACAAATTTAGGTCAAGTTCAGCAGCTGCAACATGTACAGAGCAACATGACCTTAATCACCGAGGTTTATTGCAGGATTACTCTTGTGGCACCTACAGTCACCCAGATATAGACGTCTTGAAGAGCTCTTCTTGAAGAGATAAAGAAGGGAATATCAAGAAATCTGCATTTTTCACTGAAGCATTAATTTTTGGTAAACTTCAACGTCCTCGGCATGTATACGGGTAAGGGGCCATAACTGCATCATTCATGCAAGTAATTATCATCTAGAACTGATTATAGAGGTACCCAGACATGAACTGAAAATTCTTCTTAATCTGCATTAAAGGATAGACAAAACTATGTTTAAAATATAAACTTACTTTACAACAACTATGAAACAAGTTATTTCAACTTATACTAATCACTCTTGTTAATTGGCAAGGATGTTATAATTAGTGCGCGGGGTTGTTATTGTGGGAGGAAGCGGAGTACCTGGAGAAAACCCACGTAGTCGGCCAGGTGACCCTATACATTTTCACGTCCAATCGGGGAATCTATTTTACCTCGGCCGCCTTGGTGAAAGGCAAGTACGCTACCCACTGCCCCACCCGACCACCCTCTGCTTCAATATCTCTGGCCGATTTCATTGTGTGTGGGGATAAAAATTAAAAGTGTTTTCTTCTGATTTTTTTGTTGAAGTTTAATTCACTCAAAGTAAAAGTTAATTTGATATGCCGTATAATAATCCCTTTCCACCCGACATTTTTATAACTATTTTATAACTTTTTTATAACTATTTTATAACTTTTTATAACTATTTTATAAGATATGATGGGAATGGGACTGCGATTGTCTAGTATCTCAAATACTGCTAATCTGTTATCATTCTTTGTACATTTTGTGCTAACTGATTTTGACATGATTAAGCTATTTATACTGACCGAATCTTTGGCCCTTAGAGAAACAGCTACAATGTACAGTTATAACTATGTACAATATCCAAATTTTTGTAACCAAATGGAGAACGAACAGTGTCCAGAACGTGACCAAACGATAACCCCCTGCTAGAGATGCTGAACTAACGCAGGACGACCAGAGAGGCTAGTATTGCTGTTCGGGACAAACGCGTCTAGAATGTCCGCTTAGCCATATTGCTGTACTATTTGGCCGAGTCGCACTTATAGCTAACTCAGTCAATCTACTAAACCGTGGTCTGATCTAATTCCCCGTCTAATGCAAAGAATGGAGGCACGGTAGTCTAGTGGTAGGACGCCTGGCTCGTGACTGAACGGTTGCGGGTTCGAGTCACGTCACGGCACTGTGTTGTATCCTTGAGCAAGATACTTTATTCCGCTTGTTCCAGTCTACTCAGCTGTAAATGAGTACGTAGTTGGGCAGTGCTAGAATTGTTGAATGCTAGCTAGCTGTGAGCGCCGAAATGGCAGCACTGGCTGTATGCTCCCCAGGGAGTTGAGAAAGATATTGGCTGGTTGCAAAGGCCCTATAACCACTGATAATAATTTGTGAACCGCTTTGTGACGACCTACAAACTAGGTTGTGATAAAGCGGTTTATAAGAACCTCAAATTATTATTATTAAAGAATAAGACTCAAATCCCTAACTAGACACTTGAGCAATGAAGATATATTTATTTGGTGATTACAATAGAATCACCAACGGTTGTCTATAGATACGTATATATCTTGCCAGTGACTAAGCAGGTAAGCTTATTACCAATAACACTAACATGTGAATGCCACGGCCAAAGGGCATTTATAACTAACCCTCCAACAGACCATCCTCGATGTCCAGGGGTAACGCTCACTTTTGCTCTCTGCACCCCTGGAATATGTCATAGCAAAATTGAAGGCTCAGTGGGTGCCACCTTGTGACGAGATGACTAGTTTGATCCTTTGAAGTACATCAAAAGAATCTTGCAGTCACATAACGGTAAAAATTGACAGGCTTTGAAGTCAGACGTCTCTCCTTTGTAATCTTCAAAGGACAGGTATCAGCCTAGCGATTGTTTTTTTTTACCTGAGACCAATCAAACAGCCATCTTCGTGCCTTCAATTTCGCTATGACATGTTCCAGGGGTGTAGAGAGCATAGCCTCTGGATATCAGGGATGCCAACAAACACTAGCTAATGTACATGGTTCCCAATTTAACAAGAGAAAGAATGTTTTGTGTACTTACCTTTCATTTTGTCATTGAATTGAATTCGGGCCCACCCCTCTTCCCAAACGGGGGGTGGGGTCACAGCCTCAGTTTATACAAAATTGAATCTTTTTATGCTAAGGATGCTCCAAATTACATTTTGCTTAAATCTCTTCATTTGTACAGAAGGAGAAATATTTTTCTCTATTTCCCCTATTGGGCCATACCATACCACCTGTTTATACACAAATGAGAACCATTTGGCCAATGATGTTCCACACCAAAATCAACTGAGCCGTTAAGGACTAGTAGTAGTTCGGGCTAAGTGAGCTACAAAATTGACACTGGACGGACAGACGGTCAGACATAATGACGATATTCATATGATGGATGCCATGCTTCGGGCCAGGTGAGCTAATAATACTTATGTCTCTGATGTTGTTTCAAGCCAAACTTCAATATGAATTATTATTTCAAACAAACCATCTTACTGATATTTCCAGTTTCTGCATCATAATCAAAGGCGAAGATCTGCTTCAGCGGGGAGTCAATGAAATACATTGTCTGGTTGTCCCCCGACCAGGCTATGCCGTTGGAAATGGTGACCTTGTCTTGGTGACCCTTGACCCCTGAACTGTCTACACTGTACAAGGTCCCACACTCTATCTCCACACTGTCTTTCAACTCAACGCCCATTGTTCCTACAATCAACAACAAGAGGCCCAATGGGTCTCCATCACTTAACTTGTAACCTTAAATTAAGCTACAGGCAACATATTAGTATATCTGACTCAATGTCATTCAAGAGAACCATGTTACTTGTTCCCTCCTCAACAGTATATAATCTTTACCTGCCCAAATTTAAAATAAAGTCTTCCATTCCTGTCGCATTTCCCATCGTTGAACCTGTTCCTTGTTCCCTCCGCAACAGTATGTAATATTTACCTGCACAAAGTCTTCCATTCCTGTCACATTTCCCATCGTTGAACCTGTTACTTGTTCCCTCCACCACAGTATGTAATATTACCTGCCCAAAGTCTTCCATTCCTGTCACATTTTCCATCGTTGAACCTGTTACTTGTTCCCTCCACAACAGCATGTAATATTACCTGCCCAAAGTCTTCCATTCCTGTCATATTTCCCATCGTTGAACCTGTTACTTGTTCCCTCCACCACAGTATGTAATATTACCTGCCCAAAGTCTTCCATTCCTGTCATATTTCCCATCGTTGAACCTGTTACTTGTTCCCTCCGCAACAGTATGCAATATTTACCTGCCCAAAGTCTTCCATTCCTGTCACATTTCCCATCGTTGAACCTGTTACTTGTTCCCTCCTCCACAGTATGTATGGTTGTAAGTTTTGCTGTATCCCAGTCTAGGTGACATATACTTCTGTTCTGAGCAATGATATAGCCTCCATTCTTATTTGGCACTATCAGGGTCACTGGGCTTTCTGGCAAATCAAAATAAGAGGCCAAGAGGGCCTGTATCACTCGACTGGATATTTAAGCAATCATGGAAAAGAATTTTCAATGATAGTTCTATTGCAAATAAGATCTTAGGGATAAGGCCAGTCCCCTAGCCCAGTTACGCAGGGAACAAGTCCCTTTTATTTTTGCAATTTTAAATCCCCACCACCTACAGATGTTTTTAGTCGAATTCCATTCAGCAGTGAAGAAGAAGTCGTTTGAAGGAATTGGTGACAGATCGACAATGGAAGCCATGGTATGTCATAAGCTCGCCCCTAGCCCTTTGGACCAGATCTGTAAGCTTAAAAGCAAAATCGATATAAGGGGAAGAACATGCATGGTAATTATGAGATTTTCTAGTAAAGAAACAGGGAGTGTATTCTTTAGAGGATATCTCGACAGAAAATGTGTGATCTACAGAGACCGTCCACAGCCTGTCCCCCTAGAAACATGCATGTTACATATAATTGGGAAAACTGTATTTAATCATTTGATTGTTTTTTTTAATATTTATCATTTGAAGTACATCATTACAGCTATATTATTGCAACACATATGATCAATTATGAAGTAAGTTTTCCTTAATAATATTGATCACTTTTCTTGGCTCAGATGAAATCATGTAGGAGGTCTTAATGTGGAAGGAAACTGGAGTACCTGGAGAAAAACCCTTGTGATCTGGAAAGTGACCTATCAGGGAAATCAGATCATGGCAGTCTTTGTGATGGATGAGTGCGCTATCCACTGTACTACCAGATCACCCAAAATATGCAACATATGTGTCACTCAAAGTTTACTGATCCATATTTATATTTCTTACCTAGGTGAACTTTCTCATGAACACCAGTTGAGGGACTCCACCGGTGAACGTCCCCTTCCATGATGTCGACGTACAAGAGGGTCCCTGTCCCAACGTCCCAGTGTGGTCCCTCCCCAATCGTCTGGGCGCCATTCTTGATAGCCACTTCTACAGACATCCTAAGTGACTTCAACAGCACATGTTAAGTATTAGTACCTGTCTACCAATATAGATACAAAATGAAAACATATTGATCAGATCTCCATCACATTTACAAGCTTTTTATCCTGAAAGTTTTGTATCCAATAAAAGTAAACACAGTGGTTAAATTCTTTGTTTCTGCTTTTCTCCCTTATTTCATGTTTCCACAACTATCATGTAATGAGGTAAAACAATTCCACTGTACAGCAACATGTTCATACCAGGGGTACTTATTTTTGTGTATTCCATGATTAATATGATTGAAAAAAATTGTGAGACCTGGGAATATGAAAGGATGTTCAGTAGTACAAGTTATTAAACAGAATATCTTACTTTTTACCTTAAACTCCTTTCAATACCAGTTTAATGTTTCATGTGATATTTTCTTTCTGTTAAAAACTGATATTGTGGGTGTGTTTTGCCTGAAAGAATCTCTCTATCTTTGATTCTATATTTTACAGACATGTGCATCAAAGTTATACTATATTTTCAACAATTAAGAACAGCACTAGCAGCTCATTTATGTATAATATTTTATGTTTATGTGTGTGGTTAATGTATTTAAATGTGAGGTACAGTGTATATTTCAACTATGAAAATCAGTGTATACGTATTTAAATATGTGGCACAGTGTATTTAAATGAAGTATGTCATCATATCAGAATATGAGATATAGTGTATTTGAATTTGAGGTACAATATATTCAAATATGAGGTAGTGTATTTAAATATGAGGTACAGTGTATTTAAATATGAGGTACAGTGTATTTAAATTTGAGGTACAATATATTCAAATTCAGGTAGCTAGTGTATTTAAATATGAGGTACAGTTTATTAAAATTTAATACAGCATATGAGGTACAGTGTATTTAATTGTTAAGTACAGTGTATTTAAATGTTAGATACAGTGTATTAAAATATGAGATACAGTGTATTAAAATATGAGATATGTTGTATTTAGATATAAGGTACTGTGTAATTAAAAAAGAAGTACATTGTATTAAAATGTGAGGTACTTAAGTGAACATGTATTAAAATGTGAGGTACAGTGTATTAAGTGTGAGGTACAGTGTATTAAATGTGAGGTACGGTGTATTAAGTGTGGGGTACGGTGTATTAAGTGTGAGGTACAGTGTATTAAGTGTGAGGTACGGTGTATTAAATGTGAGGTACAGTGTATTAAGTGTGAGGTACAGTGTATTAAATGTGAGGTACGGTGTATTAAGTGTGGGGTACGGTGTATTAAGTGTGAGGTACAGTGTATTAAGTGTGAGGTACGGTGTATTAAATGTGAGGTACAGTGTATTAAGTGTGAGGTACAGTGTATTAAATGTGAGGTACGGTGTATTAAGTGTGAGGTACAGTTTGTCTAAACTGAGTATTGTGTTCTGTTTGGTACTGAAGTGATTTTTTTAGACAGAATAAACAATATACTTTATGTACAAAATGTAAATTTGATATTATAGGATAATTAAAGATCCGGACCAGTCATGTGATTGATAATTCCTATATAATATATATATATATATATATATATATAGGAATTAGGATGAGGCATGAATGTGGCGCTATTTAATCAATTTGGTAAGCTACATAATTTGGGTGGTAAGCTACATATTTTGGGTGGTAAACTGATGTAAAACGAAAGTAAGAAAGCTCATTCCCTTTGTCATTTTGATCAATATTTTTTAAGTTATTTATTTACACATGATCACATTGCATTCTAAATGTTCACATGGACGTTGAAACTAAATATTGTATTTGTGTTCAAACATTAATGTACCGTTTATCTAGATCAACATGTAAAACAGACGCATTATGATTACCTGTCGGAACAGTCAGAAACATGGGAGTGACTCACGTTCCAATACCCCTGTTGGGCCCCAGGTAAGATATAATTCAAGCGTCGACTGCGACTTGACTATCAAGCGCACAGATGACTCCGAGAAGGGGGTCCGCGAGAAGTTGAGAAGTAAACATCGAAATGGCTTCGACCTCAGGTGGGGTGTCAAATTCACGATGTAACGGCCTGGGGAAGAGAATTCAAACTCGACGGACAAGTTTCAAACTAACCCCGCAACAGGAACAAAAAGCAAATGGATACCAAGTTAACTCTCTTCAGTTACAGACCGAAGATGACAGGGACAGGACACATGCGGATCGTCCGACCCAGCCCTCAGCCACCGTGTTTCTGGACGATGTAATTGATCAAACGGACGGTTCTTATCGTTATCCCTTTACCAAAATAGACCTTTTTATCACACTGTTCTCCACCTTATTTTTTCTGTATGATTTTGTGTCCGACATTGTGCTGACTGAAGAGTATTTCCGACATGGTCGCTACCTGGCCTTCTGGCTCACTGCTGCCTTTACCGTGTTGCCTGCTGTCATATCTAACGGTCTCAGTGTCCAGTGGTACTATCTCGACTACACACGTGAAAAGCAACACCCGGAGATCATCGGCACCTCAATGTGTACCTGGTTCTGCCGTGTGTTCTTCACTTTCCCACTCATGATGGGTCCTGCAGTGCGGTAAGATATCGCCCGTAAGATAATACAGTTGTCATCGTACAACACACCAAAACTACCATGCGCACATCATTCATACATACAGTAGTGTGCACATTGCCCGCACATATTGTGCACAACTGTGCTATTTAACAATCAATTGCCCTGTTGTGTTCTAAGTACACAAATATGTTACATATGATAAGATTTGTTGATCGATGTTACAGAATGTAAAAAAATCTGGAAGGCTCGGACGAAAAAGTTAGATTTGGTATATATATGTAAAAGATGTGCATTGATTAGATTGCGTCAGCTTTAGGGAATTTCCCTTAAGCTCAGTCAGTGTCTGACTATGGGAACTATGGTAGAGCATCAGACTGGAGAGCCAAGGGTCACAGGTTCAAGCCCAAGTGACGGCACTATCTTTATGACTATTCCTTGTCCTAGCTACTACACTGTACATATATATATATTGCATTTTTTTTTATTTTTCAATGAATGCATGTTACACGTTATTACACTGACTGTAAAACTGTCAAAAATGGGGTTGTACTGTCAGGTACGTATACAGTGTACATGTAGTTGATCGCCAATGAGACTTATCTATGATTTAACAGTTAGGAAAAACACAACTGGATTTTACCTGTACATGTATTTATTGTGTCCGTCATGCATGCTTTGTGTGCAATTTTCTCACCTCCTTCACGCTTGACTCTAGGTGCAAAAAAAATATACTTGGTTTCCCCTGACATGTCCGAAATTTAAATGGTCGGTAAGTATCCATTTGTTCCAGAATGTAGATACCAAAGACACACTTTATATAATTACGTTAATTGTCTGCATCCTGTTTGATGACATCATAAATTTTCATCCTCGTCCACATATATATCAGTACAAAATTATATATGAATTAACCTGTATTCACACAATATAACTATACTGTACAAAATAGTTCTATTTAGTGGTGTTCCGATTATCGAAAAGTATAAAATTGATCGACTACAGCTATATAACGAGTGCTTGACTATGATTTTGTAGGCTCGATTAATCAAAAATTAAAAAAATCAAAACACTGAAGATCTTAGCCTAGCTGTGACATCCAATGTGGAACCAAGGCCAATGCATCCTGGGTCACTTCACTGATACTAAATGTGTTTGCCCTCTGTTACATTGGCGCCTACACATATGATATGGACCAGGGAAGCATTGACAGAAAGGCTTGAATTGTCTCTCGCAGGTTTGGCTGGAAACATTAATAAGACTAGTACTTCTTCCTGAAGTTGAAGTGTGTCATCACAGTAAACCGTTAGCTGCTTCCTACTGACTCGGCTAGGGAGAATTTCTCTATAGCTTAAGCGCTTTGGTGTGGTTTAGACTTCACTATATATAGTTAAAGGTCCCAGTTTGATCCCTAATGAAGCATTGCATTTAAGGCGTGATTCAATTACAGTTATCTGTACTCGAAATCATATGCGGTAATACTGGTTTTTAGAACAAAATTTGATTGACAAACGTTTTAATTTTGCTTGCTCATTCAAGTGTACATGTATGTGTACTCTTCACAATATCTTTACATATCTCGCATGTAAATTGAGCTCTAAATGTACCTCTAAAATCTGTTCAGGTTTTTTTTGTTTGTTTGTTTGTTTGATTTTGTTTAACGTCCTATTAACAGCTAAGGTCATTTAAGGCCGGCCTCCCCTGTGTGCAAGATGCATGCGTGTAGTGTATGTGTGTGTATTTTGGGAGGCTGCGATATGTTCGTGTTTGTCTCCTTGTGATAGCGCGGAACTGATGCCGACTTTATAGTGCTACCTCACTGAAACATAATGCCGAAGACACCCAGCAGGACGCCCCACCCGGTCACATTATACTGACAACGGGCAAACCAGTCGTCCCACTCAGGGGTTTTACAGTGTTGTCGGCATCTCTTTGTCAATCTTTACAAAAGAGTACAAAAGCAACATGACACTAAGATGTTAGCCTGAACACTGTTTTATTACAAAACTATCTGATTTTGAAATTTCCATGGGGGAGATTTTGCATGCTCAAAATTAAAACACAAATAAAATGTGTGTATACACCCCCTAGAGACAAAATAACCCTTTAAATGACATATTTTTAGTTGTTAAATATAGGAACAGACAACAAATTCACTCTTTGAAAACACCAAGTTCAAGAGTCCAATAAATCTGGAGTCTCCCTTTTAAATAGGGAGGGTTGGAAAGTATGAATGTATAGGTCTAAGCCAGGGAAACATGGGCTATCTGACTGTTCGGTTATTGATTAGGTAAACGGTTCATGACCTTCAGACTGAGTAACTGGTTAACCGATGACTGCGCAACCCTAATACAAGGTCATCTACCGGTCAAAGATGTGACCAGGTATATATCTGTGTGCTCACCTCTCAATTGATGACCATTGGTGTGTCATAACTAGGAACCAACTTGTACTGATGACCATAATAAGTAGTAGTGTGTAAGGTAAATCCAGACCCACTAATGACCAGTCACGTGCACAGGTGCATATCAGTTAGGGCCATCCTTCAACAAATTGTTTGTAGTTTTCAGAAAGACTCACTTAAATGGCACCTACTGAACCTTTTTTCTTTATTTTATTTCTATAGAAAAACATCATTAGTGTTTTTCTATAGAAATAGGACATTTTAGGAGGGAAACCCTACGTACCTACCCAATGTAAAAAGTGTGAGGAGGGAAAGTGAAAACATACCCCAGTATATGAGTTATTAAGGAAATTATGAAATTTGTGCACTGCATTATTTTAACGCTGTATTATAAGTGTGGGTATGATCATGTGATACGAGTACATCATTCAATGTATTTAGTGTGTATTTTGATCCTTGAGAATGAGATACTCTTAAATAAATGAAAAAGTTAATTCAGTACAAGGCTCCAAATAAATATAGACAGTCTACGTAAACAGTTATCTCTATTAATCATTGATAATATCTCTAAAGCTATTTTTATCAAACTCTTTCACGCACTTGACACTTTAATTGAGCAACCAATTTTTTGGCCAATGAAACACCTAAATTGAACACACTTTATGTACAATAATTGGCTTATTTAATTTGTTGGTTAGAAAATTTCACTTCAAGGAATAGAAAATTACATGGAACAGCTAGGCTACGTTAACGTTTCAGTCGAACAATGCTGGTGCATTTATGCTAAAATATATATATATTTACCCCCTGATGTAATCACAAAGTTCTGTAGAGCTACGAATAAATGAATATCTCATTTTAAAAAGAATCTGTTCTTTCAATGTGATAGGAAATCAATGACTCCCCCGGAAACCTGTATGTGTTATACCTTGGAATTAGATCTAAGTCTGTGGTGATACATGTATACATATGCCCTGTTCTGGGGGTATTATTTTAGAAAGATTTACAAAATGTATATCCATGCACCTAGGTATCTTGTTTATTTAGAAATGTGAACTTCGAGACCTGATCACACAGAGATTTGTCAGCACTGCATTTATACATGTCAACCCTCAAACAACATGAAATATTCAAATATTAATGTTGAAATACCTGTGTGGGCCCACTTGACTGCAACACTGGACTGGTAAATGGTCAAAATGTATTACTTTTTTACGTATCTATTATTAGTCCCCTACAGGTGAAACCGGGGGGACTAGATAGGTTTTGTCTGCGGCCGTCTGTCCGTCAGTCGGCCGTCCGTTACCTTTGGTTAAGGTTTTGGTTAAAGCTTTGTAATGGCTTACCATTCACTTAATAATGATGTTAGGATGCTGGTTCTTTAGGGATCTAGCATCAATGCCTGGGAACGAAAATGTTGGTGTGTTTTTTTCAATTTTTGACATGTTTTGGACTTCATTCAGTATCTTGGCCAAAATCTGCAGGTTAAAGTTTCGTAATGGCTCAATGTTCACGTGTTAGGATGCTGATTTTATGTACAGGGGTTCTTTAGGGTCTACCATTAATGTTGTTTAGTGAAAGTGGAAAAATGATTTTATTTTTTTGAATTTTTGACATGTTTTCGAATTAAGTATCTTGGCCAAAATCTGCAGGTTAAAGTTTGGGTTACAGTTTCGTAATGGCTCACCATTCACTTAATAATGGTGTTAGGATGCTGATTTTATCGAACTTCCACAATACTTACCTCAGCTGTACAGCATCTGTATACCTGCTTCACCTTTTGAATATAACAGATTCATCAATAAACGACATGGGGTAAGTAAGGGCGTTACATTGGTCCGCAATGTATTTACTGTGTACCAATGGAAAATCTTTTGAAAACATCGTTGCTTGCAATATCTTGTTTGCTATATCTGTTGGGGGCATCAGTAGGGGACATGTTATAATTGTATTGATTCATTAACACCCACAGAATGCTTTTTTTTTTTCTTCATCTAGATGATCACTTATGATCTTGACATGTGCAGTAAAAATATAAATGTACTATTTTAAAGAATTAAGAAAATATTAAAAGATTGAAAATTTAATAAAGAATTTAATCCATCCCCTGCATGCTGTCCCCAGTGTTTTGGTATTATCAATAAAATACTTGTAAATTTAAACCTGAACCACCTTTATAACTTGTATTGTAAGTCATTTTGCTTTCTATAACGACCCACTGTGGCTCTGTGGACTAGCTGGTCGCCTAGCTTGCGATATTCTTGTGGTGCGTGTCAGTTGCTAGTTGATATTGATTGGCAGCCCACACCACTAAGGATTATAGGGGCTTAGGGACGGATTGTCTTTCCTTCAGGTTGGCAGGTTGCAGACAGATTTTGCATAACAAGTTGCTACATTCTCAGAGATTGCTAGAACACAGACAGTCGCTTTCTGAACTAAAGTTGTGTTACACAGAAAGTTGCTAGACATCTCATACAGATTTTCATAGCAACTAAAATAATAGGGTAAAGTACAACAAACATAAAACACTGGTACCTATTAGGGTAAAATATATACCATACATAAAACACCGGTACCTATTTGGGTCAAATCTATACCCTACATAAAACACTGGTACCTA